ACAGATTCCTATTTATAAAAAGAAAGAATAAATGTGTGCTGTGGCATCTCCGAAGTCCAAGCCCTATATTTAGGTAGGAGAGAGCCTATTACAAATTAATCAAGAATATTTCACAAATTCATCCACTGACTGCCACCTTCTGAATGCTGAGGGAACATTGTAACATGTAGACATCAAGCCCCCTTTCAAGAACTACTGAAACAAAAGCACAGGGGTATAAAACAGGGAACTGAATAATTATTAAGTCTGTCATAAGGTTTCATGCTTACTTCAGCAGTGGTGCCACCAATGACGAATCATGAAGGAAGCAGAATATCTGAAGAAAGGGGACTTTTTTTTTTTTTTGAGACAGAGTCTCACTGTGTCGCCCAGGCTTGAGTGCAGTGGCATGATCTCAGCTCACTGCAGCCCCTGCCTCCCAGATTCAAGCAATTCTTCTGCTTTAGCCTCCCGAGTGGCTGGGACTACAGGCATGTACCACCATGCCTGACTAATCTTTGTATTTTTAGTAGGGATGGGGTTTCACCATGTTGATCAGGCTGGTGTAAGGGGACATTTCAAGTCCAGAAAGGATAATGCTTTTCATTTCTCAGTCAACAGGTTTCAATCTCAGTCAAGCAATGCAGGGGCTCCCAAGAGAAAGACAAGAGAAAATGCAAAAAGATATACCAGAGCAGATCCAGGCTTCTGGAGGAACATTATCCTCACCTAGGGAGATCAGGTTCCTGTAGTTCTCTAACATCACATCCCTGTATAAAGCTTTCTGCCCAGGGTTCAGGCATTTCCACTCCTCCTGAGAGAATTCTATGGCCACATCCCTGAATAACAATTGTCCCTAAAAGGAAATCCACATTTCAAAAACAGGATATGGAGAGAGAATTCAAAGAGAATGAGAAGATAGTTGGAAGGATTGACTGCATTGAAGTGAGCATTGTGACAAATCCACATTAACGTATTCTTGAGTTAGTTATGTGTCTGTGATTGTGTTTTATTACACTTTTCCATAAGAAGTGGGGACATTCTTTAAATCAGAGTACATGTTTCATTTTGTGGATAATACAGGTAGTACAAACAAAAAATTAAACCACGGTTATCTCTACAGAAATGTTAGGTATTATTGCTGGGCACGGTGGCTCACGCCTGTAATCTCAGCACTTTGGGAGACAGAGGCGGGTGGATCATGAGGTCAGGAGATCAAGACCATCCTGGCCACACGGTGAAACCCCATCTCTACTAAAAATACAAAAAATTAGCCAGGCGTGGTGGGGGGTGCCTATAGTCTCAGCTACTCAGGAGGCTGAGGCAGGAGAATGGCGTGAATCCAGGAGATGGAGCTTGCAGTGAGCCGAGATCGCACCACTGTACTCCAGCTTCGGCAACAGAGCGAAACTCCATCTCAAAAAAAAAAGAAAGAAAAGAAAAGAAAAAGAAATGTGAGGTATTATTTTTGACACATCAAGTGATATTTAGTATCTACCTGAGATACAAGTAGTGTCTTCAGAGATGACAATGTCTACAGTGCTCTTTCTTTTTTTGAGATAGAATCTTACTCTGTTTCCCAGACTGGAATGCAGGGGTGTGATATCGACTCACTGAAACTCCTGCCTCCCAGGCTCAAGTAATCCTCTAACCTCAGCCTCCCGAGTAGCTGGGACTACAGGCTCACACCACTATGCCCAGCTAATTTTTGTATGTTTTGTAGAGACAGAGTCTCATCAGGTTGT